TGCCATCCGTACTCAACACCTCGTGGCAGGAAATATGCAGTAGTTTTGGCCAGATACGGCGTTATGAATTTCCTCGGCTTGTGCTCATTCCGAACTCTGAGTTAGAAATTCATGGATTTTGCGACGCGAGTATAGAGGCTTATGGTGCCTGTATTTATGTTGTGTCGAAGGGTCAGCGATCCAGCAGTCACTTACTTTGCGCAAAATCTCGTGTTGCTCCATTGAAAACACTAACCATACCAAAGCTGGAGCTTTGTGGAGCGGAATTGCTAGCTAGGCTCATATCTGAGGTAGCAGGAATGAGTGTCTTCAAAGGAAGGTGCTACTGTTGGTGTGATTCGGCTGTTGCGCTCTCTTGGATTCGGGACGAGCCATCCCGATTCAATATATTTGTCGCAAACAGAGTGGCAACGATACAGGAACTGACTGAAAAAATGGAATGGAACATGATCCCACAGATTTGAACCCGGCCGACATTCTTTCACGAGGAGCTCTACCAATCGAGATGAGTGAGTCACCCCTTTGGGCTCATGGACCTCCCTTTCTTTGCGGCTCTTCAGATGACTGGCCAGCTACGGTGTTGCCTGATAAGCCAACCCTGGAGCTGCGTCGTAAGGTTTTCTTAGCCAAATCACCTTACTTGGACATTGTAGCCAAATCCAAGTATGCGAACTCATTCGCTTCTTTGCAACGCGTTTTTGGCTACATTCACAAATTTTGCAACCGGATTCGGCGCCCTGGACTCACCGTCTCTGACATTGAACGTGGAACCCAGCTATTGGTGCGGCTGGTCCAGCGTACGCAGCTCTGGGAAGACATGAAGTCACTGCGCTCTAGGGGAGTGGTCGCCTCATCCAGCTCACTTTCATCATTGTGCCCTTTCATGGATAATTTTGGACTCCTCAGAGTTGATGGTCGGCTGAAGAATTCTTCGTTGGATTTTGATGGCCGTCATCCCATCATCTTGCCCAGCAGCCATCCGCTTACTCTCGCAATAATCTCTCACTTTCATGAGCGGAATCTACACGCCGGTCCTCGAGCTCTACTGGGATTAATTCGATCCCAATATTGGCCTATTGGGGGGAGAAAGACAGTTAACAAGGCCGTAAACAAGTGCGTGAGATGTTTTCGAACGAAACCTAGAAATTTGGAGCACATCATGGCGGATCTTCCAAAAGAGCGCCTAGACGGTTCTCTCGCCTTTGAGATCACAGGCGTAGACTTTTGTGGCCCGTTTTTCTACAAGCCGGAGGCACGCAACAAGGCTCCAATCAAGTGCTACGTCTGCGTCCTCATTTGTTTCGCGACCAAGGCCGTTCATCTGGAGCTGATCAAGGATCTATCGACAGTCTCTTTTCTCCACGGCCTAAAGCGCTTTATATGCACCAGACGAAAGCCACGGCAAATTTGGTCAGACAACGCAACCAATTTTGTCGGTGCAAGGAACGAGCTCGTGGAGCTAAGACGCCTGTTTCTCAGCGACGATCATCAGAAGGCGGTTCTGGATTTCTGTTTGGTTGAGTCCATTGATTGGCACTTCATCCCGCCGCGCTCGCCTCACTTTGGTGGCCTATGGGAAGCCGCAGTGAAGACGGCCAAGTACCACTTCTATCGAGCAATAGCCAATTCGGTTCTTGGATTTGACGAGCTGCGGACGCTGTTATGCCACATCACGGCAGTCATTAATTCAAGACCTTTAGTTCCCATTTCAGAGAGTCCTGCCGATCTTGACGTCTTAACTCCAGCACATTTCTTGAATGGCGGCCCTCCTGCTTCATTCGCTGAGCCTGATGTCACGAAGCTAAACTTCGATCGCCTTGACGCCTGGCAGCGCGTTTCTTACCTTCAACAGCTCTTTTGGTCCCGGTGGAGGGAGGAGTACATCACGTCACTGCAGCAGCGCTCAAAGTGGCGAACTCAGAAGACGAGTTTAGCAGTCAAAGACCTGGTCCTCGTCAAGGATGAAAATCTACCTCCCATGAAGTGGCCACTAGCGAGGGTGGTCGAACTACTACCTGGAAGAGATGGCGTCGCCCGAGTCGCTGTGCTGAGGACTGCAACTGGAATCACCAAGCGAGCCGTTAACAAGCTGTGTCTGCTTCCCCTTAAAGATGCTGTTGAAAGTCAGGCTTCCAACGGGGGGAGTATGTCGGGTCAAGCAGCCTAAATAATTATGTTCATTATTTGCACTGTACCAATCACTGTTAATCAGCTTCTGATATGCACGGCAGCGGCCGCTCTTTCATTTTATCTCGCCTTCTTCGCTTTGTTGTTGGAGTTGCAGCATCTAAGCTGGTCTCTCGCGTTCCATATGACGTTCGTGCGCGGCTTAGCATCTGCCCCGATCTGCTCTCCTTTCATCGCTCGTTTTCGCTCTCTTTAACACTTGCTGCATAGGGCGCTGGCAAGTCGGCCCATGTGCCCTTGTAGCCAGTAGAGAGATAATCTTCGTATCAATCGCATCGCTTTATTATATCGCTCATACTAACGCCTACTTTAATTCCCAATAAAAATAATTGTACATTTCTCATTGAAACGCTAGACCTTTTTCTTTAAGTCAAACGATTTTCAACGGCTATTAAAAACTCTTAATAGCCAAACATCCTTCTTTTTACAAGAATACTTGAAAGCAAGAGGTACCTGTAGGTTAGCCTCAGCCAAGAACCAACAAACCACCGTAAAACCATATTGCTCATATCTTTTGAAGCTTGAATATGTATCCTATTATTCCATTAACAAACATTTGGATTTTGGACAACTTTAAATTTCTGCCTTTGGTTTACAAATAATCGGATTAGCCCATATGTATGTACCTACATATTATAATCTACATACATATATATGTACATATGTAAGCCAATAACAAAAAAAAAGTTTTCGCGCTAAATCTTCGACCGGAGCACATACACCTAGACTAAAACACACATACAACGATACATTTGTGTGTTTGTGGTTTTTTTGTTTAAAAACACAGGCTTGTAAAAAGTATGAAAATCTGCTACATCATATTTCTCTCTCGCTCGAACGTAATGCTTTTCTCCACTACAGTTTTTAGTGGAGTACGACTATAACGGAATGGCTCCAAATTTTAGCAAAAGTGTGTTTGCAGATCACAGCAAACCGCCTGCCTTTTTTATTTCACAACGCGAAATTTTGTTTTTGTTTTTGAAAAATCGTTATATCGCTGTGTGTGTGTGTTTCAGGTGTATGTGCTCCAACACGCAGATTTCGCGAGAAATTTAGTTCCGTGCACCGTTTTGCAAACGCAATTACATGTGCATACACACCACACCACACCCGCCTTCTTTACCTTTTTTGAACACTTAATGTATGCATAATTATGCTTGTTTTTCAAATGCGACATTAAATTGGTCGAATTTCCACTAGTTTTGATAGTTCGGCTGCATATAGTGCACTTTCCCGTTTTTTCAGTAAAATCTGAAAAATAATTACGTGCTGAAGACATGTCGAACTTTTACCGTTGGTTGAGTGTGACAGAATAAAAAATATCGAAATATATCAAAAATAAAAATATATATTGATATTTTGCCAAAAAAAATATCCCGATATAAATATATTTTTATTTTGGGAAAATATCGATATATTGATATTTTGATATACTTTTGACAACCCTAGTTCGAACCTGCTCGAAGTTGAGTTGAAAACAATTTTTTGAAGGGGTATCGAACAGGCTCGACCATACTCATTGCCGTTCTCTGCTGCGTATGCAAACTCCGCGATCGCAGCCAAAAGCTTCTCTTTTGCTTGCGCTGTTCGTGGGTCGTTGACCTCAAACTTTTAAAATAACCACAGTTGATTTGACTACTTGCATGCAATAATATCTGATGCCCGATGTTGTTGGCTTAAGTCGTTCGACTTACGTCCATATAATGCCCTTTAATTTTATATTTTCTATTCAGGGAAATATAATTAATTTATATCGCACTGTTTCGAAGTGTATGTAATCACACCTATTTATACTTATATCCTTATAGTTATATAAATATTTTAAGTATATACATATGTCTCTCTCGATGGCTCACCTATTCTGGCACAAAATCGTGTTTTTCGTATTCCCTATTAGCTTACGTTTTGTTTGGCCTGAGTAATAATGGAGTTGCTTAAAGATACGCCATTTGGGGAACCATGCTGCCGTGTAGCGAAGTAGGCTGGCCGATACCGGACACTCCAGGGTCAGGATATTTACCTCGGCTTGGTAGGCTGGGCGTGGCGCAATAAGAGTATATTTTTCTATTCCCGAATTTTTTTTTATACGTGCAATTTAAATATTTTTTTTTACCTTGAAAATATAGTCCATATATGGGCAGTGGACCTGTTTGGCTTCTACATCGATAACAGTGACGCTGCCTCGCACGAAAAACAATTTTGTATGGGAATTAGAGCTGCGACAGCCCATTTTTTTTGCCGTTTTTCGTGCGAGGTAGCGTCAAAACAACCCAAAAACTAGATGGTTTTGGAAAATATGTTTTTCTCTAGAACTGTCTATGCAACGGACCATTTCATTGAATATTGATAAAAATAAATACACCTAGTAAAAGATACCAAAAGCAGAATGATATCTCACCAAGTTTACTTTTTATTCTACCTAAAAGATGGATTTATCCAAAGCGTTCAAAAAATTAATTGACACTTGCCACCTCTTTGCGGCTGAGGCCACACCCCACTTTGCGACACCTTAATGCACCTATACACAAAAAATACCTCACAAAAATCATTAATTTTGAATTTGAAAGCTTCATATTTTTTAGAAGATAAGCTAAATCTTCAAAACGTTCAGATCCACTTAATAGCTGCATTATTCAGCCTTTTAAATTGGCAAAGAACATTACTTGTTATGTGAAAAAAAGAAGCGATATCTCTGACTAAAGGAATACAAAAATATCAATTTTTAAAACATATCATATTTTAAATTTTTTAAAGAAGAGTTCTGTCATAGAAAAAAAAACATAGTTTTAAAAAAAAAATTTAAGTTCTAAGTCAATCAGGAAAAGTATGTTTGGTTCGAAGCGTAAATAAAAACATAAATTTTGTTGAGTAGTGGTACCTGAGATCCGAGCAAGCTTTACTTAAACTTCAAGATTTATTCTAGTCATATTCCGATTTGCACAAAAAAGTTTGTGTAAAACTTTAAACAAAAAAGGATCTCAGAAAGTTCGTACTAAAATGTCGTCACATGGTCAAAGACCGGATGGTCAATCTCAACGTCCTAGTCCGCCTCCAAGGTTGGCACGTGGAGTGTGGCAGCCGCCTACTACCAGGGACACGGCATTTTCCGAGAAACCAGCCACGAGCCGTGGTCAGGCTCCCACACGTGCCCAGCTGTCCAATCGGACACCCGATGCAGATCCTGCTCCAGCTCAGAAGTCAGCTTCTAGACAAGCTGGGGAGACGCCAAAAGAGGAAAGACGCGGCTTATTCGGACGAAAGAAGAGGACACTGGGTGCGAGCCCGAAAAGTGCTACAGCTCCGCATGGATTAGGACGCGACGCCCAAATTTCCCAAAACCAAAAAGGGAAGACTACGCGCATTCTCTATACCACAGATGAGGAAGTACGCGATGCTCTACTAGAGTTTGGGGTGTTCATTATCTTTCTTGTCCTTACATCGTTGGGTGAGTAGCGGTTTCAAATTAGAGATTTGCCAAGCAAATGTTTACATCCATGGTATGGCTGCTAGATCGACTCGACTCATTATTCTGATACATGACAGCAGAAACGTTTTGAGCCGCTGCAATTGCTATGGCTCTTCTTTTATACTTTGGCAGTATATATGTAAGCTTATGATATATTTTGAATTTAAGAAGAGAGAGTGGGTAAGCGCTGGGATGGGTATTTTAACCACGGCAAATGAGTGTTAATTTTGGATATAATAATGATTCAGATTCAGCAATTCGGAAGACACGGTTCTTTATGTTATGAAACTGTTTGAGTACAGGAATAACACTGCTCAACACCATTTTTTCCACTTTGAAGCAAACCAAATTTGTATGCTCAAAAAGAGTTAAGGGGTATATTGTATTTGTGGTAAAAGTGGATGTGTGCAACGCAGAGAGGGAAACGTTTCCGACCCTTGATCAGCATCAATAGCCGAGTAGATAGAGCTATGTCTGTCTGTCCGTCTGTCTGTCTCGATGAGCGCCTAGATCTCAGAGACTTTTAGAGGTAGGGCAAACCAATTTTGTTTTCCAGACTCATGTGTTATCACACTGCTACAAGTATATTCCAAAATTTCGCCCCGCTCCCTTCCACAGACAAAAAGGACGAAAATCTGTGGCTCGCACAAAATGTATATACTGACTGAGTACGGGTATAAAAGTAGTCGCGTCCCCAGAAGCGACTCACACGTTCGTTCTCATTTATACTTGTACTCGAAAAGTTAAGATGAATATTAGATTTGTGTTTCAATTGGATGTGTGTAACGCAAAGAAGGAAACGCTTCCGACCCCATAAAGTATATGTCGGGGGCAGAGGGCCTGGGTGCTCTTCTCCTTCCTGCGTTGAGGCACTTGAACGCAATGAGTCGCGGTTATGTCTTTTCTCTTTCAAATCTATGAGCAAACTTCTTGTCATCTTCTTTTCGCTCACGTAATACATAACACCGTATTGCATTATCCAATTGCTCTCCTTAGCAATTCCCTTTCGATCCCACTCTCTCTAAGAGGTAACCTACATACAACCGCGCCACACTCGACGACACTCCCTCGTTCTCAATCCTCGCTCTCAGCAACAATGCGAATAAAAGGAACAATGGATAAATTACTGCGTAGTTTCTGTTCTCCCTTATTGATATTGTTTCTTAGTTCTATACATTTCTGATAACATTTTTTTTAATTTCTCATACATTTTCATTATACATCTCCGACAAACATATATACATATATACATTCTTGATCAGCATCAATAGCCGAGTCGGTATAGCCGTGTCCGTCTGTCCGTCCGTCCGTTTGTACTACTCTCCGTCTTGTTTGTCACCTATTTGTTAGAGCCTATAAAAGCTTGAATTATCCTAGCCCCCTCTCCCATATCAGCAAAAGCTGGTTCTCCGCAGAAATGTTATGTGTTTTTCATTTGGTATTTGAACGTTTTCCACAACTATATTGGCGTTTTCCCGCTTCCCCTGCCCATGCACATTACAGCTGACTCACACGGATTGAAACTAAAGCCGAGACCTTTATATAGGAGATTAAAATCTCCCAATTTACTTTGTAGATTTGTGACACACGCAGATAAGTTTTAACAATGAGTAATTATAATCAAATCATTGGCAAATTGTACAATTTTCGTTTTTACATCACCAATCTGATGTAATCTTTTTGTGCATATGTTAAACAACAATGCGGAAAAACACGAGCTTTGGGGTATTCCGCCCTGCACCACTTCCACAGCATCTCCCATTTTTAAAAGTCTCACAAAAGCTCATAAGCAAGTCAGTGTACATTTTAGGAATCTTCTCGTTTTCTATTTATATTTTTAGAAAGTTTAGGTTTACGTAGTTTTATGCGTTGCAACGCAATTACATTTATTACATAATTTATACACATTGACGCCGAATATTTTTTTTTCGGTATGCATATACCTATATACTCGTAGCAGTGTGTTCTTTTCGTTTATGTACTCTTCAAGTTTGTTTTTATACCCGTACTCAAATAGAGTTAAGGGGTATATTGTATTTGTAGTGAAAGTGGATGTTTGCAATGCAGAGAAGGAAACGTTTCCGACCCCGTAAAGTGTATATATTCTTGATCAGCATTAATAGCCGAGTCGATATTGCCATGTCCGTCTGACCGTCTGCCCGTCTTGATGAGCGCCTGGATCTCAGAGTCTATAAGAACTAGAGCAACCAAATTTGGTTTCCAGATTCATGTGATATCACACTGTTACAATTGTATTTCAAAATTTCGCCCCGCCCACTTCCGCCTCCACAAAAGACGAGAATCTGTGGCAGGCACAATTTTAAAGATACGATAAAACTAAAAATTTAGTATCGTAGAGACTGACCATGTCTACCAGTTTGCTGAATCTGAATCAGATCGGATCATAATTATAGCCAGAATTAAGAAATTAATTTTCAGTTGCTTTCCCGCCTCCGACAGCTAGAGACCCGCCACTTATTATCTTTCTCGCTCGCACACTCTGCCGCGTTCAGTGCGCGAGCAACGTTCACACTGTTTGACTTGATGTTGATATCAGTTAATTTGCGGGCATAACTGGTTTTTTTTGGCAATTCTCACTGCCTTTTTCCACTTGCCACTTGTTTTATGCCTTCTTGCTGTATTGAAAGACTTTTGACTTTCTTTCTTAATTTTTTGTTCTTTGGGACCACCAAGCGTGGCAGCGGGCTTGACAGTTTATGTATTTTTGATGCAACTTCAATGTCTGACCATTTAATAGATTTGTTTTACTTTATAGATTAATAACTCTCATCACTCCATAAAGTAAAACAAAATTATTATTATGCAATTAGAGGCCGAAATGCCAAATCTGAGAGCTAGGCGACAAACCAGACAGACAGACAGACAGACAGACATGGCTATATTGACTCGGCTATTGATACTGATCAACAATATATATACTTTATGGGGTCGAAAACGTGAGACCTCGGAAAATATTGAAAACAATACCAACTCTAAAATCTTAAAAGCCAGATAACAAAAATTTTCAGCCATTTGCTTACCTCAATCCCTGTTAAGAAAAAAATTTGTATTCCAGTAACTCTGTCTGTTCGTCACCCTCACATGTTCTACTTTAACGATACAATAAAGAAACTGTTTACCACCCGCGAAATGGTTGTGGCTCCATCAGTGACAGTCTCTTTTGAGAAGATTCTCACAGTCCCCGATTGGTGGGACTATTTGGTATACAACTTTATAAAAACATTGCACGGAGATATGACTCAAACTAATCCAGATAATAACATGGAGCCAAATGAAACTAAAACCAGTAGAAACAACGCTGAATCGTTGAGACGGGCCAGCGAGGCTCACTGGAATGTGGAGGATGGATATGTAGACCGCGATGATGATGATCAATCCCACAAACAGAACCAGGATTTCGAACCACGGCTGCATGATGTCGTGTTTGAAGATATCGGTGGGGTCGCCAAGCCTGAAAACCTCGACCTTAGCGAACAAGCTGTCGACACCAAAAGGGGTCCGGGTGGTTCGGGTGGCTCTTCCAGTGGTGGAGGATGGGGTGGAAACAGCTCCCAAAAGGTCTCCCATCTTCAGGGTCGTGTATTTCTGCTGGAGAACCTTTTGCTCGGTCCCCCGCGCCTTCGGCAGATTCGAGTTCGAAAGGAGAGTTGCCATGTGAACGAAGACTTCGTGCGACACTTTAACACCTGCTACGCCGCCTATTCAGCGGGAATCGAGGAGAAAACCGGGTTGCACAAAGGTACACAATACCATACGATGGGCGAACTGGACGCCACTCCGATTTGGACAGTGCTGGCATTCTATCGTACTGGTGGGTACATTGCTGATCTTACCTATGATAAGGATGACAGTCTAAAAAAGATAAATAAACTGAGCGACGATAATTGGCTGGATCGCGGCTCAAGGCTGTGTTTGGTGGAGTTTAATCTGTACAACGAGAATACGGACATCTTTCAGAGCGTCAAGTAGGGTTCAGCTTCCATTTTTAAATTTCAGTGTATTTAAAGCTTCTTCTATAACCAGACTTTTAGCCGAAATCCCCCCCACGGGAGGTGTGATACCACAGACGCATATGCAAACTGTTAAGCAGTATTCTTTCTTCACCGATCGCAGTCTGACTATGACTGTGGTGTATATATTTTGGTATATCATGGTCGCTTACTATACTATCTATGAGATTAATGGATTACGCAAGTCGGGGTGTAAAATTTACTACAAATCGTTGCTAAATGTTCTTGACAGTATTGTATTAGTGGTAAATATTATCTTTAATGATCGTTTCCCGATCTACATTTCCATTCCTAGCTTTGCTACCTGGCCTTGGTCTACAACGTCTGGCATACCTTCCAAGTTCAATCCCTTACATCCAAGGCCGAGATGGAAGAAGGTTATCAAAGTATCGATGTTCTTTGCTTCGTGAACATCATCTATGTGGATATGATGGCCATTTTAGCGTTTCTTGTATGGATAAAAATATTCAAGTTTATCAGTTTCAACAAAACTCTTGTTCAGTTTACAACTACATTACGAAGGGTACATATTTTAATTTTTAAATTTGAATGGATGTAATATTTAATGAATTTTTTGAAAACTTTTAGTGCTCCAAAGATTTGGCTGGCTTCAGTCTTATGTTTGGCATTGTTTTCTTGGCCTACGCTCAACTGGGTCTCCTTCTTTTCGGAACCAAGCATCCAGATTTTCATAACTTCCTCACTTCAGTCTTGACCATGATCCGCATGATCTTGGGCGACTTTCAGTATAATCTCATTGAGCAGGCAAATCGAGTGCTGGGTCCCATTTACTTCCTTACCTATATTCTACTTGTATTCTTTATATTGCTGGTAAACTTCGAACGCTAAATATGTTTTGTCAGTTGCCATAAATTTGATTTCACTAGAACATGTTCCTGGCCATAATCATGGAAACTTATAACTCGGTAAAGAGTGAAATTACCCAAGGGCGCAGTCAATTGGGCTCATATATCTATAAGAAGCTGGCTGGGGCTCTTTACTGGATCATCCACTGTGGCCGAAAGCGACGTGTTCAGCCTGCCCGCCTCACTGCTGCTGCCAATGAGGCTGATCTGGATGGCACGAACGTAGAATTCGAAGAGCCTAAAGTTCTAACAAACATTACCCAAGCAGAGTATATTTAATTGAGTAAACTTACTAGTACAATTTCATGTCAGCTAAATATCTATTTCAGCGCACGGTACTTTGAAGAGATACCCCCCGATGTCCAAAACAAGGAGCTATTTCAGTAAGAGCTCAGAAACTTTTATTGGTGTCTTTTAATATTTTTAAATCACCTGGGTTTTCTTAACTATCTCTTAGTTTGACGAATCGCGTAACACTGATTGAAGAAATTATAGAACAGCTGGTTACAAATATGGATGATGTACTAAAACGCATCGAGAGAGAGCAAGGCTCAAGAAAAAACTAAACTCGATATATACAGTCATGTATCTCAGCTAATGTTGGATATTTGAGCAGAAGCCATCAAACAGTAATTATATGGACTCCAATTTCCTGAGAAATTAGCTTGAAGTATTCAGCTAATAAATTACTTAAAAAAGCTGTTACGACAATCTTGCGATATTATCAATTAAACAACGTAACCAAATCTGAAGGATACCAACACATTTTTTACTGTGAGCTGTGTTCAGTCGCAGAACCTTATATAACAATCTAAAAAAATCTAAAAGTCCTGTGTCACGGTGTTTTTGTAACAATTCCCCCCAATCGGCTCGGTTGATTTTTATACCCGTACTCAAGAAGTCAAGGGGTATTGTATTGTATTGTATTTTTGGTAAAAGTGGATGTGTGTCCCGCAGAGAAGGAATCGTTTCCGGCCCCATAACGTATATATATTCTTGATCAGCATTTTTTTTAGCAGGAGGGCGTCTCAGGGGGTCCCACAGTTCAGAAGCCCAAGATAAAAGAGTGTAGGGTCCAAGTTCTTCGAAGGCGCCTGACGAAGGCGCCTTTCGCATCTTTTTTCGTCAGAGCTGGAACCTTGATGGTCACGGGAGAAGGAAATAGAACCGATTTGGTCCTTGCAGCAGGGTAGCCCTTGCTGCTCTCGGAGTGAGGGGTGACTTGATTTTTTATGTCGACGTAGTTCCGGAGGCGGAATAGGTGCGTAATCGGCTTGAAGGGCACGGGCAAAAGCTTGTTGCTGTCCTTGTGGCCTGTTGCCATATTACGAACTAAATCGGTTTTGGAAGACTTGGAGGGACAGAAGAATTATCTAAGTACAATTAACACGGAAAGACGCCAAGAAATAAATATTTGTTTTGAAAACCCAGGCTGGCAGGAAAAAGGCCTCGAGCTAGCTGGAATGCTATAGTCAGGTCGACTCGGGTTGTTTGAGATCACCTTTAGGTGATAGTGCCCAAACAATGAGTGCCCTTAGAGTGTGCCGAGCTGAGGAGAGGAGCGGTGGTGGCAATATTTTGGAAATATTGTTAGTGCGGTGCTCCTCCGTTTACCTATTTGACGAAGTCGTGAGCAGAAATAGGTTAATTGCGGATGGACTGTGTCGGTTTGGATCGACAAATTACAGATAAATCAAGTCGCCGTAAGCGTTACCGGAAGTTGCAGTCAATAATATAACTGCGGATTGGGCGGTGGAAAACTACCGGGAGAAATACAGAAGGAAAACAGCAAACATCCAAAAAAGATAAGGAAAAAGTTTAAATTACACTACTCGACAAAATCGAACTTTTTTTTTCCTCAAGGATCCAAACCGACTTTTTCTGATAGATATGGGGATTTAAAATTTTTTAAAGAATTATGGTTTTTTTTTTATGGTAGAACTTTTTTTTGAAGAATTTTTGAAGTCTGTTATTTTTTTTTAAGCTTTTTTCAGAGGTAGTGCTTGTTTTTTTCACATAGCTCTAGTATCTTGCGTCTGGTTGTAAAGAACTTTACTATTTTGAAAAGATAATTAAAACAGCTAGAATTTAAGCCCAAACACTTTGTGATTACCGTCTGGGAAATATAAAGCATTGAAATGCAAAAATTATGATTTTTGTGCGGTATTTTTTACGAAATTTTGACTTTAAAAACTCAGGAAAAGTCGAAAAAAAATAAAAGTCGTGGATAGTTAAATTTAATCATGTAGTGTCCTTGTGTTTGTTTGGAAATTGTAAGACGAGGGTGAGTTTTTGTAATTTGTTATATTCGGATGAGTGCCAGCATCGCTTACGATACCAATAGTTTTTGGATTAGGCCACCTCTAATTTCCGAAAAAATCCCGACACACCAATTTTTATACGGGGTGTGGTGTAGTATTTTTTTTATGTGCGTTATGTGTATATGTATGTATATAGTTGGCAATATGGATACCCTGCAGTACCGGTCATCGATGTGTAAGCGACGATACATCGATGCCAACGTCATGCAGCTCGATGACATAAGCGATGACATCCCATACGATGGACTGTTTACTTTAACCCAGGGATGTCCTAGGAATATAATCGATGACATAGTAAGTGAGAATTAGCCGAGAGTAAGGCCTAAATATGCGATGAATTTCCTTTAAAAAGTAAGGCCTTAATAAGCGATGAATTTCCCTTGAAAAGTAAGGCCTTAATAAGCGATGAATTTTTCTAAAAAATAAGGCCTTAAAAGGCGATGAATTTCCCTTAAAAAGTAAGGCCTTAATAAGCGATGAATTTACCTTGAAAAGTAAGGCCTTAATAAGCGATGACTTTTCCTAAAAAATAAGGCCTTAATAAGCGATGAATTTCCCTTAAAAAGTAAGGCCTTAATAAGCAATGACTTTTAGGATAAAATAAGGGCTAAATAAGTGCTGGGTTTCATTTTTTAAAATTTAATTTTGTTTATTTGTATTAAATTTAAATTTGGGTATCATCTGGCTGGCCCTGAGTCTTAAATTTCTTCGCCATGGATACCTTCTGGATTGCACTATTTTTTATATTGTGCACCGCCTTTCGAAGTGTCTTCTCAGCTGGCTCATTCGGGATCTTCAGCTGCATAGCCACTGAAATTATATGAATTAAATAATATATTATTTATGTTTTGGTTATACTTGGACTTACTTTCCAGGGCTTTATACAAATTTTTTAAAATTTTTAGGGAGCTCTTTCCTGACGCCCGTCTAAATTATACTCCAGTAGGACCTCCTCGTCGAGCACATTTTTCAAACATTTTGGTAACGATGGCGCTGTTCCCAAAATATTGTTCACCTTCGTTGTCTAAGAACCAACAAAAATTTACAAAATAAAACTGCAATTAGAGGATATTAATGTAGGTTAGGTTAGGTTAACCCAGACGGCCCTCACGGGGCCACGCATAGGCCAATATGGCCCTTAGTTGTCCATTAATGTATTAATGTAGCACTTACATAGAATTCGATGAGCTCCTCACATATGGCGTTGTTCATTGCCTCTAATTCAACTTTAGATTTTATTGGGAAGTGGCATTTGGGGGCTTTTGGATATTTCTTTACCCCAATTTTTAACATGGCCACCGCCCCCGCCAAAGCTTCCGCCATTACGTCAAATTTTTTTTCCAGCGAGTCGAGTTGTTTATGGAGTTCATTATTTTCTTCTGAAATTTAAACATTAAAACACATTAGAATAAATGAAAATATATGAACAGAAGGTTTTACAACTTACTTTTGAAAGCCGCAATTATGCGTTCCTCTGATGTCACTGTAATAAAATTTGTATTTTACAAATAATGCAAAACGTCATCAAAAATGCATATACTTACACGTCTGTTCCTGTGGCTGAGGTTCTAGAAAAACAATAGGTCAATACTGATTTATTATAAGAAACACACGAATGGTATACTTACGTTCTGAAGCAAACTCAAAGCGCTTGATGTTGCTGGATTGTTCGTTTTCCATACTAAACAAATTTTTTAAATACATTTAATACAATATAATTTTATTTTTGTTTTTGTTTTCGAAACAGTCCGGTGAATCTTCCAAAGATATCTATAGCGCCGGCACTATAGATATGCACGATTCGCAATTAAACTACGCCTACGGACTAAACACCTCCTTTTGATTTTTTTAATACAAAAAAACATAGCACATACAATTTAAAATAAGTAACAATAGCAAAAACATAATCAAAATGCAAAAATGGAACTAAAACTATTTCCCCCTGATATGGCATGGCATCGGCTTTCCGTTTAAAATCTTCTACAGCAAACTATTTCTGAATATTTGGCACTTCTAAATTTACTAAATATATACCTAACTGAGTCGAATTTTGGCATACTACCTATAATACAAATTTTCCTAATTCCTCTTCAAATGACTCGATTTGAATAGGAATATCTCCTCTTAAAAAGCTTACTACCTTTAAGGGTACAGTTCTCAATCTTGAGAACCCTGCCTACTAACAATATTTGTTGTCTTCCGGGAGCCACGTACCTATCTTCGACTGTTTTTCTGAAAATTTGCTCTAGGATATGGGTTAGCTTATGGACAAAATTTTTCAGAGTTTGCAAATGGTTTTCAAAAGCGTAAGACGATCCTCAAATCGGATTTTCGATCTGTTTAATAGTTTCCCTTACGTGAAGTAATCCGTGAACATTGTAGGACACACTGTTTTTTCCAAAAATAATAGGAAAATTCTCAACAAAAAGATTCAACATTTGTTGAGCTTTTTCTATATTAATTTCGCGTTGCTTTTCCGAGCAGAGTAGTCTATATGCGCAGTGCAGCTATAAAAATACGTAATACTGCTTGAAATTTTAGAATAGTTTTTCTAAATGAACTTTAACAAAAAAACCGAGTTTGGTGGCTGCAAATTTTATATATTTAACGAAAGACGGAGGGAGACTAAAAAAGGGACGTGCGCTCGAATTCAATACTATTTATCGACTCTTTTTTCCTTTTCGTTATAAAATATTCTTAAGCCTAACTTATCTAGGGCGGCGAAGCGGGGCGAATTCGCCAAGAGCGAGAGAGAGCTTTATTGCGCTCCCGCTTCGCCCTAAACTATCTTACACTAGACTTCAAATTTTCTCCAAATAAAAACATTGCGTCTTGACGCGACACCGGCCTCGTTGAAGGCCTGTGGGACTTCAACACATCGGCAGAAGCGCCAATTTATGGATCGGCCTCCTGTAGACCGCTCCGCTGCTCGTCCTGAGGTCGACCACCCTGACCTTTCCGTCCTGCCCGGCGTGTGTTGCGACGACCCTTCCGAGGAGCCACTGTTGGGGCGGAAGGTTGTCCTCTGCGACGATGACGAGGTTGCCTTCATCGACGTTGGGCTGCTCCTGGTGCCACTTGCATCTTATTTGCAAGCCCAGCACATACTCCCGGGACCATCGCTGCCAGAACATTTGCCTGGCTGACGAGAAAAGCCGCCATCGCCTTAAGCAACTCAGACCCTCCTGGTCCGGGGTCCGGGGTGCTGGGGGTGCGATGAGCGGCCCGCCTGTCAGCAGGTGCCCGGGAGTCAGGGCGTCTCCGTCGCTTGGGTCGGGGCTTATTGATCCCAGAGGGCGCGAGTTTAGCACCGCCTCGATGCCCACCATCACGCTCTCCAGCTCCTCGGCGGTGAAGAGCGCGCTTCCGGCCGACCTCAGCAGGAGGTTTTTGGCCGACTTCACTCCTGCTTCCCACAGTCAACCCATGTGCGGAGCTCGAGGTGGCAGGAAGGCGAACTCGCAGCCGCTTCTCGCTGCGAACTCTCGAATTGAGTCCGCTTCCGTCTCCAGCGTCCTCCTCAGTTCGTCGAAGTGGCGACTTGCTCCGACGAAATTTGTCGCGTTGTCGCAGTTCACGCGGAGCGGACATCCTCGACGACCAACGAACCTTTGAAAAGCCAATAAGAAGGAGTTAGTCGTTAGATCGGAGACAATTTCTAGATGAACCGCCTTGGACGCAAAACAGACAAATAACGCTATGTAGTTTGTTCGGAGCAGCAGCCGATAATAGTTCTTCTTAATATCATATAGTCATACATCATCTCTTATACTGCTTATACTTATCGCTCTCTCAGTACGCTCCCGTACACACGCACATATGCCAGTACTGCTTATAGTGCTTGCTTCGCCCTGTTGCTGGCAATTTCGTCGAACGCATCGAGTTAGTTCAGGCCACGGCCAACCTGTACCCGGTACACGAATTGAGTAGAGTTGCTGCCAACTTGCCTATAAAAACATATCCAAAGGTTTAACGTAAAGGGTGTGACCGACCTTAGCTTCGCTTCCTCTTTGGTCGTTTGCTTCAGCCAGCTCTTGTGAGAGGCTGCAGTAATAACTCTCTGAAATTCGAACTCGAAAGCAGAGTACATCTCTCTTTGCGTAATTGTTGGTTTTCCGTCGTCGCTTCGTTGCTTTTACCGGTGCATACCTATCGCATATATAAGTGCCAAAAAAGTGAACGCAAAGGCGTTTGAACTCGTTTTGAACTCGTTTGAACTCGCGCGTTGCGTAATAATATTTAATTGTGATCGACTAGCACCCTCCGCGTCAACCGTTTTCTATAACCAAAACCATGGGCAAGAAAAAGAATAGCAGAAAGAGTGGATCGTTTGCTATGGACAATGAAAGTGATTCTGTGACATTTGGCGCTGCTCCATCGGGCGGAAGTTTTAGTGCGAATGCAGCCAGCACCCAAGTCCCTGTTCCGGTATCTCGTATTTCCTTCATGAGACTGAAGGCTAGAGCTATTTTCGATCGGCTAGAGTCCATACGCACAGAGATGGATAGTGAAAAGTTGCGTCAAATGGATGAATACGACTTGCGAGGGCTGTTGGAATCATTGACGGAGCTTAAGTCAAATTTTGTTGTGGCACACACCAGTTTGGAGGATTTGGATTTCGAGTCAATGTCCAGTGAAATTCCTGCCAAATTCGACTCGTCGATATTGTCGTTGAGGACCATTCTTCAGCGCGAGCTTGGAAGTCGCTCGAGCAATAAGCATTGTTCCACATTCAACGCCAACTCTAGTGAATCGCAGTCAATCGTCATAATGTCTAATCGATCTCGGTTACCTCATCTGGAGCTGCCCAAATTCAGTGGAATTTATACGGAGTGGGCCAATTTCTTCTCAATGTTCACCGCGATTATTGACAAGGAGTCTGAGCTGAGCCCTATCGAAAAGCTGCAGCATCTACGTTCCTGCTTGAGTGGCGCAGCCCTGAATACCATCAGCTCGTTGGAAATAAATGAAGCTAATTATATCATAGCATTAGACATTCTGAAGCGACGCTTTGATAATAAACGTTTTATTTTGCAGGCACACATCAGAGGGATATTTGGGTTGGAGAAGGCTGACGCATCGGTGGGCAGATTGAGGGAATTGACCGACAGAGTTACATCGCATATTCGTGCTATGGAGTCGCTTGCAAGCAAGGAAGAAGTGGCGGATTGCATTATCGTGCAGACTGTTCTTCAGAAGCTGGACAAAGCCTCTCAAAATAGATGGGAGGAGTCTTCGTCGAATCAAGAGCTGCCATCTTGGGAGAAACTGTCTGGATTCTTGGAAAAAAGATGTCGCACGCTTGAAAATGTGGATCAAGGACAAGGACAAGGACAAGATGGTCAGGTTGGCAAGTCCGGAAAAACCGTGAGTACGTAGCTTGTAGCATCGAACGCTCCAGTTTCTTGTGAACTGTGCGAGAGTACTCATCACATGATTGCCAATTGTCAACGGTTTGCAATTCTATCGCCGAATGATCGTCGCCTGGAAGCCAAGAGGCTCTTGCTATGCCTAATACTAAATTGCCTACGAAAAGGCCATCAATTGAGAGATTGTAGATCAGGTCCCTGCCGCACTTGCCGATCAAAGCACCACACTCTTTTGCATTTCATTCGTCCAACAGAGGCTGCCCAATCTGTTCCTCCAATTGAAGCCTCACCAGCACAACCAAGTCGTAACGCCATGGTTGCAGTATCGCCCTCCTTGCCTCAAGCCTTTATGTCCCACAGTCCATCTGATGCTGTGCTTTTAGCCACTGCCGTCGTTCTCGTAAAAAACAGCGTTGGAACTTTCGTACCCTGTCGCGCATTTTTGGATTCGGGATCGCAATTGCATTTCATAACTAGTCGTCTAGCTAATCAGCTAAAACTTCGAACAACCAAATCGCTTACCGCTGTCTCTGGCATAGGAGATGCTAGCTTCCCAACAGAAGGTATCTCGGTGGATCTCGTTCTGAAATCGCGGATTTCAGAGTTCACCACTAGCATCACTGCCGTCGTTGCCCAGAAGATCACGGACCATCAACCTAGCATCACAGTTAGCACTGCTAGTTGGCCTATACCGTCGAATATCCAGCTTGCTGACCCTTCGTTCCATAAGCCACAGCGGATTGACCTGCTCATCGGAGCCGGACTTTTCTTCGAGTTGCTGTGTGTGGGGCAAATTCAGCTGGCGCCTGGACTACCGTTGCTGCAGAAGACACATCTAGGATGGATTCTTTCTGGTGGCGGGCACTCGGCCCTCAATAACTCGTCGTTCATCGCAACCCAATCTTCGGATGACATCAATCACAGCACTCGGCTCGATGAGTTGGTTCGTCAATTTTGGGAAGTGGAGCACATCTTTGAGCCAATCGTTAGGGCAACAAAGGAGGAGCTGCACTGCGAGGACCACTTTGTCAAACATCACACTCGATTACCCTAAGGAGAATATTCTGTTAGCTTGCCCATGAAGCGAAGTCTGGAGTCCTTGGGCGATTCCTACTTGCAAGCAAAGCGGCGGTTGGAAAATTTGGAGAGCAAGTTCGTGCGTAATCCAGTTTTATATTCGAAATATTCGGCATTTATGAAGGAGTACCTGTCCCTTGATCATATGTCTCTGGTTCCAAATGAAGATAGACACAAGTGCAGATATTTCTTGCCGCATCATTGCGTCATTAAAGAGGATAGCTCCACGACAAAGCTGAGAGTCGTATTTGACGGCTCTGCAGTTACCACATCTGGTCTCTCGTTGAATGATCTGCTTATGTCAGGTCCCACCATTCAATCCAAGCTGTTTCACACTCTCCTTCGATTTCGTACATTTTCCATTGCTCTTACAGGCGATATCGGTAAGATGTATAGGTGCGTGCGTGTCTCAATGCCCGATACCATGCTCCAATGCATCTTGTGGAGGGACTCTGTTGACGACGATATAAAGATCTTCAAGCTAAACACCGTCACCTATGGGACTAAGCCTGCATCGTTTTTAGCTATTCGAGCTATGCATCAGCTGGCCATGGATGAGTCGTCTTCGTATCCATTGGGTTCGGAAACCATTCTACAGGACTTCTACGTAGACGATATGATTTCTGGAGGAAATTCAGTCGAGGAAGTGCTGGATATTATGCGTCAAACCACGGAGCTTCTTGCTTGTGGCAATTTTCAGTTAAGGAAATGGTGTTCAAACTCTCCTGATGTTCTTCGTGGTCCCTGAGGCAGAAAGGGAAAGTTTTCTGAAGCTCGATGATGGCAGCGATGTGACCAAGGCGCTTGGACTCATCTGGGAACCCCAGAGGGACAAGTTCCTGTTTACTTTTGCACCTCAAATCGGTGTTGGCAAGCACACTAGCGTTCGGTGTTGTCAACCATTGCACGGTGCTATGATCCTATGGGATTGATTGGACCCACATTGACCAGAGCGAAAATCATCATGCAGCGCATGTGGAGAGACAAGCTGCATTGGGATGAAAGTCTTCCTCAGCCACTGGAATCGGCTTGGACTGAGTTTTGCAAGGACTTCGCTACTGTGGGTAACGCTACATTTCCGCGTTATATACTTCAACCTAAGGCAAGGTTTGAGTTGCATGCCTTTTGTGATGCCAGCCTCCAGGCCTATGGGGCTTGTATCTACGCTCGTTCGTTTAGGGATACCGCCGATGAGGTACATTTGCTTTGCTCGAAGGCTAGAGTTGCACCATTGAAAACCCTCACGGTGCCTAAGCTTGAGCTATGTGCAGCGTTCCTGTTAGCCAATTTACTTCGCGAAATTAGGAAAATCGATACCTTCGACTGCCCGATCCATTGCTGGTCGGATTCAACTGTGGTACTGTCTTGGTTGCGAGAGGAACCATCCAAATTCAACGTGTTTGTGTCTAACAAGATTTCCGCAATACAGCAACTTACGAGGGGCATGGATTGGCGCTATGTACCAACTGAAATGAACCCGGCTGACATTCTTTCAAAGGGAGCAGCGCCTCAGGAGCTCTTGCAGCCTAGGTTGTGGATGAATGGACCTTCTTTCTTGCAAGGCGAAAGAAGTAGCTGGCCTGAACGTTGTTCGCCCGAACTCAGTCTTCCGGAAATTAGGCATCGAGTATTGCTGTCATCTGAGCGTGTCGACATCTCGCTTTCGTTTAAGCACATTAACTCATTCGGAGTCATGATGCGCATTTTCGGATATGTTCATAAGTTCGTCAGCAAGAAAAGGTCACCTGATCTCTCGTCTGAAGACCTTCGCAAAGGATCGCACTTGTTGTGTCGCATCATTCAACGCGCCCACCTTTATCCCGAGTACCGTGCTCTGCGGAAGGGGAACTGTGTGGAGTCCTCCAGCAGCATTATATCTCTCTCGCCTTTCATAGATGACGTTGGTTTGATTCGTGTTGGTGGTCGCTTGCGGCACTCAACTCTTGGCTTCGATGCCACCCAATAATTTTGCCCAGGGATCATCCATTGACGTCGCCACACAGCACTTCAGAAGCACACCAGGGGGAGGGACATTCGCTTGCAGTTCTGGCCCATCGGCGGCATGAAAACTGTTGCTCGAGCGTTGCGGAAATGCATCATCTGCTGCAGGTCCAGACCTTGTCTTGTGGAACACATAATGGCTGACCTACCGAAGGATCGAGTGCAGGATTCGCCTGCATTCAGCGTCACTGGAATCGATTACTGTGGTCCCTTCTATTACAAGCCAGATGGCCGCACTCGAGCGCCTACAAAATGCTACATCAGCGTCTTCATCTGTTTTGCAACAAAGGCCGTTTGGTTGGAATTAGTGAAGGACCTCACAACTGCTGGATTTTTGAGTGCCCTCAAACGCTTCGTTGCCACGCGCGGCATACCCCGATGCATTTGGTCGGACAATGCCACCAATTTTGTGGGCGCAAGGAACGAGTTGGAGGACCTTCGGCGGCTGTTTATGAGCGAGAAGCATCGTGATGCAGTTCATAATCATTGCATCAACAATGGCTTCAATTGGAAGTTTATCCCGCCTCGCTCACCCCACTTCGGGGGCTTGTGGGAGGCAGCAGTGAAGATGGCCAAGCAGCATTTATATCGCTCCCTGGGATCGTCACTCTTTGGCTTTGACGAGCTGCGGACATTGGTCTGCCAAATCCAGGCTGTAATAAATTCTCGTCCTCTTCTCGCAATTTCAGAAAACCCTGAAGATCTTGGCGTCCTTACACCAGGACATTTTCTAATTGGTCGTCCGCTGATGGAGTTTCCCGAGCCAGATGTTACAAATCTAAACTTTAACAGACTAGATTGCTGGCAAAGAGTCGCCTGTGCTCAGCAGATCTTTTGGAAGCGTTGGAGTGAGGAGTATTTGACTCTGCTACAACACCGTGCCAAATGGCGCACACCGCAGCCATCGATCCAAGTCAACGACATCGTCTGTATAAAGGACGAAAACTTGCCGCCGTTGAAGTGGCCATTAGCACGGGTGATCGACATCATCGCTGGAGCTGATGGCACTGTGCGAGTTGCCGTCCTGAGAACACCGTCTGGAACCACTCGTCGAGCTGTCAACAAGCTGTGCGTCCTACCCGTTGAGGATCCTGTTAAAAGCCCTAGTCTTTCAACGGGGGGAGTATGTTCGGAGCAGCAGCCGATAATAGTTCTTCTTAATATCATATAGTCATACATCATCTCTTATAGTGCTTATACTTATCGCTCTCTCAGTACGCTCCCGTACACACGCACATATGCCAGTACTGCTTATAGTGCATTGCTTCGCCCTGTTCTCGGTGCAGTCCAAATATTCGTCGAACGCATCGAGTCGTAGTTCACGGCCACGGCCTCAAAACCTTTGTAACCCGTCGTGAAAATAAAAAACATTTGTAAACTTAACCAACGGAGTAAATTATTGTAAATTTGGAGTCAGAGTTGCCGAAAAAGCTCGGCAGCTTCCAACATAGGTCTTATAAGGGGGCCTACCACGAATTTTTAGTGTCGTATAGACTGGGCCACAAAAATCAACGCCACATACTGCGAATGGTCGGAGAGCACGGAGCCAGTCTGCGGGTAGATTTCCCATCATTTGGGTCTGGAGTCGAGGCTTGCATTTAAAGCAGCGAATGCACGACCTGACCATTGCCCTGCAGACCTCCTGAGCGTTTACTATCCAAACACGCTGCCTAAGGATGCTCACAAGTGCTCGTGGGCCGGCATGAAAATTCGTTTGATGCAGATTGCGAACATAGGTCTTGTAACGAACCGGTTTTGTCCGCCTTGTGTGCGCTTGGCGTACTCAGCGGCCGGTGGGTTCGCTGCAACGAATTTGGGTGTTGCCCGGGGGACAAAGCAGAAAGACTTGGTTGGCTTCTTTATACACGAGTTCTTTATTAGTATCTTAGGAAGTACGCTTAAGGACGACAACTTAGCCCATTCTTTGGTTTAGCACTATGATTACTGTCACGTTTGGTCCTTCTCGCCCACTCGCCGTTCCTCGGAATCCCCAAGCGTGGCACTGTCGGCTCTGAGAACTGGTACGACAACGACTCCTAGCGTTAAGCCCAAGTCCGCCGTACTCAGTTCGCACACGACACGTTCGCTCTCACTGGATCCTTCCGTTGCGCGAGCGGTACACCAGGTCCTTTCTCTTGACGCTTTTTGGGTAACTTTCTGACTCTCCTCGATATTCGCTGTCTCGAGCCGCTGTCGCGCGCCTCCTTTTATTTCCTCCTTGGCGCACGGCCGCATCGCTGCTGCCTGGCAACAACGGGACTTTCCTCCAGTCGTCGGCGGTATTTTCCATCGGCTCGTCTGATGCTCTCCACCTGCTTCGTAACGGGACCCAACCGGTGGCGTGATCGCATGGCCATAAATGGTCATGCGCTGGACCACTGCCGGCCCGATCCTACTATCCCGCCTCTCTTCCGCGCTCATTTACTCTCCCTGGTAGCGCCCTCCGATCGCGGCTCTCTCCGTTGCCCCTCCCTTGAGCGAGACTCTCCCAGGCAATTCGCCGTTATCCGGTTATCCGGACACCCGGATAGACCTTAACCCCTTAGGGTCCACGCGTGTGAGGATATCATTCCTCACACTTCCCCCTTTCTTTCCCAACGAAAAAATCTCCCTTCGGCGACCTCTTGTAAACCCGGCCGTTAAATTCTACATTCAAACGGCCGCCCGCGCCTTTAAACCGGGCGTGTTCTGGCGCCCTCTGCCGGCCCAGGCGCGTTCTGGCGCCCTCTGCTGGACCGGGCGCGTTCTGACACCCCCTGCCGGGCTTACCTGATGGGGTGCTGCCGGATCGGTGAAATGCGCACGCGCGTGCGACTATTACAGGGCTGCATATAGGCCATCGATATGATGTAGGGATGGTTTTCTGTCCTACTCGATATCACTCTCTTGGCCGCGTGCGTACTCCACTTCCGCAACGAGGAATTGTTAATGGACGATGGTAAGTGCCTTTACACTCTTCTACATCGACCATCTCTCTCACTTTCCATCCTTTAGACACCGGCACGGATCGCTTGCCTTCACCTGCGCATTGACCACCGTGCGGTATCGGCAGCCCCATTCATCTCGGCCGTGGCTTGCCGGCCTCTGCCGCCGCTCTGCCACGTCTCGCGGTGGCCTCCCCTCCTTCCCCGTAAGTCTGCTTTCCGTTTGTGTTTTCCTTTTTTCTTTTTTTTTATTCTCAATCTCTCTATTATGTTTTTACCGAGCCCCAGATTCTCGGAAGACCTCCTGGTGGTCCCGGGACACCGTTACCCGGTACCGGACCCCTCCGTCGTTCACCAGCCGCTTGATGCGCCTCGAGGTGAACCTCGTTCGAGCCAGGACGCGCTCCACCGCCCCTGGCCACTCCTCCCGTCTCACGGGCCGCCAGCGTGGGCCCTCCGCCCCTAGCTGTGCCTGCGGCCACGACGCCTGGCGCTGCATGGGCGCCCGCGGTCTCTCCCGCTCCTCCGGACACGACAACTGCCGCTCCGGCCTTGGATTTGCGCGCCTGGCTTCCGGCGCGGGCCACTGCCACGGACCCCGCTCCCATGGCTCAGGTGAGCATACTCCCGCCGCGCTCGCGGCTGGCTCCGCTACCGCCTTCGCTGCCGTCGTCGCTGCGCTCGCCGTTGCTGGCTCCGCTGCCGCCGTCGCCTCTGCCGCCGCCGACTCTGCCGCTGCGCCCGGCGCTGTTGGTTCCGCTGCCGTCGCTGACTCTGCCGTGGCGCTCGCCGTCGCTGGCTCCGCTGCCGCCGCCGACTCTGCCGCCGCCTTCGCCTCTGCTGGTTCCACCGTGGGCTCCGCTGCCGCCTCCGACTTTGCCGTCGCGTTTTGCGTTGCTGGTTCCGCCGTGGGCTCCGCTGCCGCCGCGGACTCTGCCGCCGCCTTCGCCTCTGCTGGTTCCACCGTGGGCTCCGCTGCCGCCGCCGACTTTGCCGCCGCGCCCGGCGTTGCTGGTTCCGCTGCCGCCGCCGCCTCTGCCGCCGCGCTCGCCGTTGCTGGCTCCGCTGCCGCCGCCGACTCTGCCGTCGTTGCTGGTTCCACCGTGGGCTCCGCTGCCGCCGCCGACTCTGCCGTCGCGCTCGCCGCTGCCGGTTCCGCTGCTGGCTCCGCTGCCGCCGACCGCCCCCTTGGGTCGCGGCCATTGCTCCGTCGGGCCGGCGTCTCCTCCCACACCCGCGCTTCTTCCGGAGCCTCCGGCTCCCTAGGTGCCGGCCCCGATGCCCAGGTGATGTGGAGGATTTGGTGGTGCCACACCATTCCTCCCCGCACCGCCGTACGTACCTCCTGCGTTACGTACGGCCCGATCACCGCGCCTTGTGGTCCCTACCACTGGTGTTGCTGCTGCTGCAACGAGGCGTCCGCTCCCGGCCGCTATTGCTGGGACGAGGCTTGGGGCCCCCGTCCTCCTTCGGGGAACCTCGCCTCTTCCTCGGTCCGCGGTCGTCGCTGCCACAGCTCCTCCTCCTCCTCGTCCGGCGCGGCCTGGCCACGGTCTTCGGGCTCTGGTGTCGTAGGGGAAGGCTGCCACAGGCCCTCCTCCTCCTCTTCCGCCCGACGTAGTCGCTCCTGCCACTCTTCTTCTGCCGTGGCCTCTCCTCCTCCTCTGCGCCCCGCCTTGCCTCTTCCTCGCGGCTCTTCTCCTCGGCCCTCCGCCGCTCCTTCTCTCGCAATTCGGCCGCCACCTTTTCCAGCACACACGTCCGGTGGTGCTCCTCCGCCTCCCGCCGGGCCTTTTCCTTGGCCTCCTCGGCCGCTTGCTCCGCCTCCTGCGTGGCCTTCAGACTCTTCGCCAGCGCCCGCGCGTCCTCCCAGACCTGCCGCTGTCGCAGCGCCTCCTTTGCTGCTTCTAGCGCGATCCGCCGCCGCCACTCCGCGACCCGCTTCTCCTCGGCTTCCCGCTCCTCGGCGTCTGTCGGTGGCCGCCTCACCGTCGGTCGCTCCTCCGCCTCTGTTGAGGGCCGCTTCGCCTCGGCTTCCCGCTCCTCGGCGTCTGTCGGTGGCCGCCTCACCGTCGGTCGCTCCTCCGCCTCTGTTGAGGGCCGCTTCGCCACTGGTCGAGCCTTCTTGGGGGCTGGCTCCCAGCTTGTCATCACCACGTCGCTGTCGGCTTCGCTGGCCCCAGGAGACACCAGCGGCGACCCTGTGGCTCCCACTGACCCTTCCGATGAGATCAGTGGGGACGCAAGGAGCTGCAGCTCAGGGGACGCCTCCCTCCGTTGCCCTTCGCCATCCTGCGAGAGCCGATTCGCTCGTCGCTGGCTCCGGGACAACGAGGCATAATATCCCCGTCGCATCAAGCTCTGTTGCTCCGCCAAATATCTCGCCATGTGCTGCCTCATCTTAACCTTTTTTTTTTTCCTGACACGTGCGCGAAAAAAACCGAGTGACGGACGCGCTCCCCTTTTATATTCCTGGGGTCCGTGTCCATCGTTCCGCCTAACGGGGCTTTGCCTGAGCCTCTCACTTCGCTCTCTCTCATTATTCTGAGTCTCTCTTTCTTCTACCAATGAGAGACGACCAAGTACCGTTTATCCAACCTATTCGCCGCGTTAACCCTACACAGCCGTCTCAGGGTCGTTAGGCACACTTGTCTCTGATAAGTCCACCTCTCCTTTTTTTTTTTTTTTTATCTCACGACTTATTTTGTTTTAGGTTTTTTTTTTTCCTTCCTTTTTCCCGGCCATAGCGTGGTTCGATCACTACACCGAGTGGATTTGCTTTTGTACACGGTAACTATCCAGCTTCCTGGGATCCCACATCTCATTTTCCTCTCTTTCCAGCCCGACCCCAGACTCACCCCAGGATGCTGACCATCATTCCCAGCCCGCGAACAACAGGCCCTCCGGCCTTTCGCCCGGGTTGCCGAATGACGGCCCGCCACCCGGTCAGCTTCTTCCGTCTTCGGATCGATCGCACTCCGGACGTCCCCCCGTACAGCAGCTCGGACCCGAGGATCATCCGATTCCCCGCCCGGCAGACTGCGTACGGGCGGCATCCGATCTGATCGTTCCCGACGCTCGAAAACCGCCCCTGGTGTCCTGGAGTGGATCCGGATATTGGCCCCTCCTCGGACCCCCATCTGGGATCACCGTGTACTCCGACGCACCTCACCGTCCGTATCCGCGATTCCAAACCTGTCGGGTATCATTGACCTTTCTTTTTTTCCTTCCGATGTTAACGTTCATCTCTTCCAGATATCTTCACGCCCGATCCTGCTATTCGCCGCGGCCTTGGCTCCTCCCTTTCTTCCTTTTCGCCTTCGTGTAGAACTTCTTTAGGGGTATGCCTTATGTCCCCTCCTCCCTCGGTTGCGGTTTCAGATCGCTAATGTGGGCTGTCCTCATCCGATTATCGTTGGCGCTCTTCAGTCGGCAGATGACGGGTGACACGAAATCCATTATCGTGTACGGACCCGCATATTTTGGCGCCAGTTTTGCTGCAAACCCCTCAGCCGCCTTTGATAAATGGTGTTGTTTCGCCCACACCACCTCTCCGATCTTCGGCTTCCAGGGCCTTCTCCTCAGATTGTAGAACCTCGCCTGGTCCTGCGCTGCCCTTTCCAGGTTCCGCCTCACCAACTGAAACAATTCTCTCAGCTTGCTTGCGTTCTCGTCCGGCGTGAGCGTGCCCTGGCCGGTCCCTATTGTTTCCTCATCGAATAGGGCTTTTGGCAGACGTGGTTCCCGGCCTTGGACAATAAATGCAGGAGAGTACCCTGTTGAGTCGGACACGCCCGAGTTCACTGCCAACATGAGTTCTGGCCACTTCTCGTCCCAGCATCTTTGGTCCCCCTCGCAGAATTGCGCAATCATGGTTTTTACCGTCCTGTTCGTGCGTTCCGTGGGATTCTCCTGGGGCGTATATGGTGCCGTGAACTGGTGTCTGACCCCCATCTGCTCTAGAAACTTTTTGAAAATCCGGCTTGTAAACTGGACTCCGTTGTCCGTAATTATCACCTTCGGCACTCCGAATCGCGCCACTATGCGTTCTCGTACCGCTTTTGTGAGTGTCTCAGCCGTGGCCTTCCTTAGTGGCACTAACTCTGTCCACTTCGAGAACCTGTCCACCAGCACCAGCAGCATTGAATTCCCGTGCTTAGACCTGGGCAGTGGTCCCACGAAATCCGCACACACCGTCACCCAGGGTTCCTCGGGCACCTGAGTCAGCATCTTTCCGGCGGCTTGTTGTTGATTTGGTTTGAACCTTAAACATACCTCGCACTTCCTCACGTAGGCCCTCACGTCTCTACGCCCGCTACGCGCGCCATGGTCTTCCTTCCTCCGGAATGTCCCGCCTCCGGTGTGTCGTGGTTTTCCTTGGTCCCGTAGGTCTCTCGGGACACACATCTTCCAGGCCGCGACTTCCTCGTCTCCGGCTCTGTGGGGAATGTGCCTATACACCTTCCCCGCCTCCTCCACGTAGTCGGGGAACTTCTCGGGTTCTTTTTTGATTTGGTCCTTCACTTTCGCTATCCACGCACATGGGGCCACCGTTTCAGAGACCCCGACTGGTTCGTCGTCCACTCTCATACACCGCTCCACCAGCGGCTGCCGGGAGAGCGCATCGGCCACCACGTTGAGTTGTCCCTTTCTATACGCAATCTCGAAATCGTACTATTGTAGTTCTAGGGCCCACCGGGCGACTCTTCCTGTTGGGCTTTCGATGCTGTTAAGCCACTTCAACGCCATATGGTCGGGGACCACCTTGAAGTGATATCCCTCTAAGTACGGCTTTAACTTCCTTATGGCCCATACAATGGCCAGGCACTCCTTTTCGGTCGCCGAGTAATTCCTCTCAGCACTTTTGAGCGTTCTACTGGCGTACGAGATGACTCTTTCTCCTCTCTCGGTTTCCTGGGTAAGGATCGCGCCCAGCCCGTAATCACTGGCATCCGTCTGCAGCACAAACTTCCTCCTGAAATCTGGACAGGCCAGCACTGGGTCTGCCACCAGTTGACCTTTTACCGCCTCAAACGCCTGCTGCTGCGCCTCCGTCCACACCCACTTCGCCTTCTTCTTCAATAGCGCGCTCAGTGGCTGTACCAATGTGGCGAAATCGGGTACGAACCTTCGATACCACGAGGCCACGCCTAGATACTGACGTAGCTCCTTGACACTGCTTGGGGGCTGTAGTTCGGCTATCGCTGCCACCTTCTCGGGATCCGTGCAGATGCCCTCCCCCGTCACCAGGTGTCCTAAGTATCGCAACTCCTGTCGGAAGAACTGGCACTTTCCGATGTTCAGCCTCAAATTTGCCTCTTTAGACGCCTGAACACCCCTTTAATCCGCTGGTGCTCTTCCTGGGTCTTTCCTATGACTATGATGTCGTCCTGATAGGCAAAGGCATGGGGCATCATTTCGGGTCCAATTACACTGTCCAGTGCGCGCTGAAATGTGGCAGATGCGGAGTGTAGTCCAAATGGCATCACCTTCCACTGGAACAGCCCTTTTCCTGGCACCGTGAAGGCGGTAATCGGTCTGCTGGCCGCTTCCAGGGGAATCTGCCAATACCCATCCTTCAGATCTAGGCTGCTGATAAAGCGAGCCTCTCTCAACTGATCCAGGATGAAGTCTATCCTTGGCATGGGGTAGGCATCCTTGACCGATTTTGCGTTAACCTGACGGAAATCGACACACAGTCTCCACTGCCCAGTTTTCTTTTTGACCATCACGATCGGCGAACTGTAGGGGCTCCGCGATGGCTCAATGCATCCCAGCTCGATTAGCTCGTCTACCTTTTGGTCGATCTCGGCCTGCATCTTGGGATTCTTGGGGTAGTATCTTTGCTTGATGGGCTGTGCATCCCTCATTGTGATCGTGTGCACCGCCACGTTGGCCGTCCCCGTCATCTCCTTGAACTCGGCCAATTCCCGATCGAGGAATCCTTCTACCGTTTCCTTCTCCCGCGTCTCCTCACTCGACCCTTCCTCTGGGGACTCGGTCACCCCCTCTCCGTCTGTCGAGGGCGCCGCGATGGCCTCCACTACCGCCACGGATAGCCTCTCCTCCGGCCGTCCGTCCTGTCGGCCTTTCGCAGGGATCACGACCCTGTGCCCCGCACAGGTCACCTCTGCGCCGACTGCGGTCAGGAAGTCCCAGCCGAGGACCAACGCGTCGATCACGCCCGGTAGCACGAGCAGCGACATCCACACCTTCTTGTCTCCGAAGGCCATTTCCACTTCGAGTTGTGTATTCACCTCTTGACTGTGGCCGTCCGCCAGCCGCACGCGTGTCTTCGTCTCGTGCTCGCGTCCGACTCCCCGTAGCTGCTCCGCCAATTCGCAGCTAATGAAACTGCTGGTGGCCCCGGTATCCATCGTGCGATTTCCTGCGATCACCACCACAGCGGATAGCTGCACTTCCTCCTCGGCGAGTCCGCCGACTAGGTTGTTGGGGCCTCCTCTTGCGACCCCGGCACGGCCCTTCGTGGCTTGGGTCGCGGGGCGTTTCCGGCCCGTTTGCAGCATTGCCATGTCATCACGCCGACCTGGCCGTACCGCCAGCAGTATGTCAGTGGGCGCCCTGAGCATGCTTGCGCCCAATGTGCGTCACTCCCACAACGCCGACATGCTTGTGCGGGGTTCTTTACGAATCCCCCTCCACGTTGGTGTTTACCTGCTCTTCTGCCGTTGATGGCGTTGGTTTCGGTCCGCAGACTTGGTGGTGTTGGTCACTGGCTCTTCCTTGCATCGTCGACATACCTCCGGCCCGGCCGTCTTTGTGAATGGGTTATTGGCCTTCGCCCGACTCGTCGGGTCCTCTCGTTGGAATTCCACCCGATCCCTCTCCAGCGCTTCAAACTCATCCGCCAGGGTCATCAGCGTTTCCAGATCCTTGCATCTATGTGGTCGGATGAACATCCTTAGGCCCGGCATGCTGTTCTCTCGGATTAATTCCAACTCCTCCTCTGGTGGGCACTTCAATGGCCGGATGAGCGTCTGCTTCTCCACCATATAATCCTTGAAGGGTTCTCCCCATCTCTTCTTCCGCGTTCTCACCTCCTGGAGCAATTTTTCATGGTTCTCCACCCAGTCTTTGAATGCCCGGCGCATCTCGGACAGCGTACCTTCCAGCTGCAGTCCAAAGGCTAGGCCACACTGAACCAGGTCCAGTCAAGTCCAGTCAAGTGCGGAGAGTGCAAGTGCGTGTGACAGCGAATATCGAGGAGAGTCAGAAAGTTACCCAAAAAGCGTCAAGAGAAAGGACCTGGTGTACCGCTCGCGCAACGGAAGGATCCAGTGAGAGCGAACGTGTCGTGTGCGAACTGAGTACGGCGGACTTGGGCTTAACGCTAGGAGTCGTTGTCGTACCAGTTCTCAGAGCCGACAGTGCACGCTTGG